TTACAAAAATAAAACTCCTACCAAACATAAAAATGAAAAGCCTAAAAAAGATTTAAAAAACCCAGCTTTTGCTTCAATATTCAGTTTCAATCCCGAGATTTCCCCCGGAATAATTTCTGCATCCTCAGCATGTGATTGGACCGTGAAAGAAGAAGCAGCACAGCGATGAGCTAACCTCTTTGTTACTCTGCTTTCCTCTTTCTATCAGCATACTCTTGTCAGCATATGCTCCTTGTACTGCTTTTTTATCTCACACTGCAGCCAGTACATTGACTGTAGGAGGCTGACACCAGGTAAAATTCACATACTTGCACTGCTTGGATTTACAAATACATTTCAGTATTTATTGATTAAGTTTCAAATACATGTTTGTGACTAACCAGTTCTCGCCCTGCCTATTGTCAAATGACAGCTTGGTGGGACACTCATTGTTCTGGATGGATGTCATATGGCATCCTCCCCGTAACGTGCCTCACTCGCGCCCTACAGGCCGTGCGATCTAACCCCTGCTGTGTGCACCAGTGTACCAGCTGCTGCCAGTACCATGTGATCGCTGTGACCAATCAGAACAGATCACATGATGACTACACAATAGATAGCGTTCTTTGTGTTGATCTCTGTGTTTGGTCACAGTGATCACATGGAACAGACAGGGCCAATCACAGCTAACAACAACAGTAATACTGAATGAATTGATTTCTTTCAGTAAAAAAGGTTGCTTATAACAGTGAAAATCACTGGCATAAGCAATCACAGTGTGTAAAAAGAAAAGAAAATCCTTATCACTTCCCCAGAGTAGTACAGTGTAAAAAAATAAAAAGAAAAAAAATAGTAAAAAAAAAAAAAAAAAAAAGTTAAAAATTGAAAAAAGTTCTAAAGTCGACTTTACTTCCATTTTAAGGAGCAGACATTGACATGTAAGTCAAGTAGGATTGCCCAATATTTCTCTTCTGGCCAACTTTATCCACCACTCCCCACGATCAGCCTGTCTCAGTTACTTAGTGGCCTCCATCATACCTCATTGCCCTTACAGGCCTCCAGTGCCTTCTGGTGGTGCTTGTACAGTTCATGTCTTCTGTCCACTTGGGTTTTAAACCGAGGAATTTGCCTGAGGGGGTCTTTTCCACCAAATACAGGGGACAACAACCAGGGCACTTGTGTGACTTGTGTGCCAAACACAAACGGCTTGAACACTGACCTGTATCAAACATAAGAAGGTAGTGTTATACAATCAGTGATCAAAAGGGCATTAAGTAAATGCATCCTTGGAGAAACATGAAGCCAATCGTTGTTGACTGCCTGAAAATGCTGGTTGCCTGGCTATTAAGCGAACGACATGGAGGATCAGTAAACTCAAATGGAGGACTGAAGTGCTTATCTGAACGCTTGTTCAGGGTCAGTGACACAAAGTACTGAAGGCAGAGGGTCACCATGGCAGCCTTCAAATCTCATCCTTTGCAGAATTAGAAGTCAGCAGTAGCAACCTTTCATATTTTTTCCTTTAGTAGCAGGGAAATTATTACAGAATCAAGGTAGCTATTCTGAGACTAAACTATCAGATCTGATCCGAGAATGGATCTTTAACAGATTCAGTCACATGATTATACTAGGCCCACAGGGCTCATTTCACTAAGCAATGTTGCATGTGATATTTGGTCACGTGACACATTTAATCCAAACATTGCATGCGATATTGAAAATCCCAAATCACTATAGGTTTATGCTGTATTTAACCAATTCCCTACCAGGCCAATTCTGACATTTCTCTCCTACATGTAAAAATCAATATTTGTTTGCTAGAAAATTGCTTAGAACCCCCAAACATATATATAGCGCTAGAGAATAAAATGGTGGGTGTTAAAATGTCATACAATATTTGTGCAGTGATTTTTCAAATGCAATTTTGTTTGTTTGTTTTTTTAGAAAAAATACACTTTGATGAATTTTATTTCACACAAACACTCTATAATACCTATTTTTTTGTTAAAATATAAAAGATGATATTACACTGAGTAAATAGATACCTAACATGTCACGCTTTAAAATTGCATATGCCCATGGAACGGTGCCAAACTACGGTACCTAAAAATCTCCAGGGGCAACGCTTTAAAAGCCTTTACAGGTTACCAGTTTGGAGTTACACAGGAGGACTGGAGCTAAAATTATTGCTCTCACTCTGATGTTCGCGATGATACCTCACAAGTGTGTTGTGGTCACCATTCACATATTGGTGTTGGACTTATATATGCGTTTGCATTGAGTAAGCGTAGGGGGAAGGGGGTGCTTTTAATATTTTTTTTTTTAATTACACTGTTCAACAGGTAAAAAGTTTTGGGCATAAAATTAGCTAATCTTACATAATTTTGGGGTGCGAAAACGACCCTAAAAAATGTTGATTGGCTCTAGTTTCCATGATATATTCACCCATCTAATGACGTAAGCCATTCAAAATTATGATGCAACTTCAGCTGCATATTGCGCAATTGATACTGGTGACCAATAGAAAATTGCATGTATACTGAGATGATGCAATATTAGCCTTTAATTGCATCACTTCACTGCATAAAAGCTGCAGTATCTGTAGCTGATTGTAGTTCCACAGCGTCTTTACATTTCGTTTTATGCTTATATAGGCTACTCAGTAATGCCTCGAACTTGTGTGAATAAAGCAGATAATTTCTGCTATATCTGCGGTGAAATAACTTTTATCTCACAAAAAAGGAGGATAACAGAAATGATTAAGAAAGCCTACAACTTGTATTTTGGCTGCAAGATAGGAGACCAGGACAAGAGCTGGGCACCACATATATGCTGCAATTCTTGTGGGATGGCACTGGAGCAATGGTTGAATGGAAAAAAGGCATCTATGCCTTTCGCTGTGCCAATGATTTGGAGAGAGCCAACAGATCATGTTAGTAATTGTTACTTTTGTATGGTGCCTCCAATTGTAAAAGGGCTAAATAAGAAGAAAAAGTTCTGTGCACTATCCAAATATTCCATCGGCAATACGTCCAGTTCCTCATGGAGAGGGGCTACCAATTCCTAAAGCACCAGAATCCTTCGTGGTTGAGTCAAGTGAGGAAGAACCTGAAGCGTGTAGTCATCAACCGTCAACCTCACATGACCCAGACTTTCTTCCCCACACCCACTGAACCACACCTCATTACACAAGTGGAATTGAGCGATCTTATCAGAGACCTGGATCTTCCGAAGAACAAGGCAGAGCTTTTGGGGTCAAGACTACAACAGTGGAATCTCCTAGCAAGTGATGTTCGTACGTCTTTCTACCGTCATCGTCAGAAAGATCTGATCCCATTCTTCGTCCAGGAAGGTGATATTGCTGTATGTAACAATGTTCATGGTTTAATCTCAGCCATCAGCGTATGCTATGATCCCGATGAGTGGAGGCTGTTCATTGATGCTTCAAAGGCGAGTCTTAAAGCTGTTTTGCTCCATAATGGCAATCAGCTGCCGTCAGTTCCAGTTGCTTACGCAGTTTCAATGAAAGAAACGTATGAAAACTTGAAAGAGCTTTTAAGGTGCATCAACTATGATGAACATCAATGGTCGATTTGTGGTGACCTGAAGGTGATTGCTATCCTACTTGGACTTCAAGGTGGATATACTAAGTACTGCTGCTTCCTCTGTGAGTGGGACAGTCGTGCGAGAGAAATGCACTATGCCAAAAGAGACTGGCCATTACGCCAGTCATTGCAGCCTGGAGAAAAAAAATGTTAACTATCCAGCACTTGTAGACAGCAATAAGATCTTATTACCTCCATTACACATCAAGTTGGGATTAATGAAAAACTTTGTAAGGCAATGGACAAGAATAAAGCAGGTTTCAAGTACCTGATTAGCAAATTTCCAGCACTTAGTGCTGCAAAAATAAATGAAGGAGTCTTTGTTGGCCACAGATTCGTAAACTTATTCATGATGATGAGTTTCTTTCTCTGTTGCGTGGAAAGGAAAAGGCTGCCTGGACAGCATTTGTATCAGTGACATCAAATTTTCTTGGAAACAATAAAACACCAGACTACAAGAAAGTGGTAGAAAAACTCATCCAGACTTACAGAAATCTGGGTTGCAACATGTCTCTAAAAATTCATTTTCTACATTCGCATCTGGATTTTTTCCCACCAAACTGTGGAGCAGTGAGTGATGAACCCGGAGAGCGCTTCCATCAAGACATTGCAGCTATGGAAAGAAGATATCAAGGTAAATGGAGCCCATCAATGCTTACTGACTATTGCTGGACAGTTGTAAGAGATAGCCCTTTCCTCGAATACAAGAGAAAAGCCAAGAGAAGCAAAACCGACACAAACTGAAGACAAAACTAGTGAGAATCCTAGTATTAAAATGATTCAACTTAGCTTATGCTATAATTTTTCTTGGTAATCCTATGCAATATATTATGCAATTTAGGCTTTGTTATGTAGTCAATATCACTTGCTTTATATTTGTGGAAAGACATCTATCTATATAATTATTGTGCATTATGTAGTCATTACGCCTATAGTAGAAAACTTTCCGTTTACAGAAAAACTAGAGCCAATTGACAAATTTCATTGTTATATTTGAACTCAGAATGTGAAATTCATTAAGAAATGGATCCTTTTGTTTCCAAAACTGGCAAAAAATAAAAATTTGTTGAACAGTGTTATTATTATTACCATATTTTTCGCTCCATAAGACGCACTTCCCCCCCCCCCAAAAAGGGGGGAAAATGTCAGTGCGTCTTATGGAGCGAATATTGAGCGGCCGGTCCGGTATTTCCACCGCCGCGTCAGAATACAGGGCCGGTGGCTCAGCTCTGCAGCGGAACCTTACCTGTTCCTCTATCCAGCGCCGCACTGTTTTCCCGGCTTCTGTAGTGTGGGCGCTCGGCTTGACAGCTGGGTGCCCAGTGAGCATGCGCGAGAAGCGGTGCACTTTGTGAATGGTAAGGCGGCACCTGGGACACATGACAGGTCCCAGAAGCCGCTGGACCAATCACAAAGCGCAGCGCTTCTCGCTCATGCGCACTGGGCACCCGGCTGTCAAGCCGAGCGCCCACACTACAGAAGCCGGGAAGACAGCGTGGCGCTGGATAGAGGAACAGGTAAGGTCCCAGTGCAGAGCGGACACTAACCAAAGAACAACTCCGCGGAAGTAAGAGCGGGTACCTGTCAAATTCAGGTACCCGCTCCCCCCCTCCCCAAAGGACAGCAGTCATCTCCTGTACTGTCCGCAGTCTCTGGTCATCTCCTGTACTGTCCGCAGTCTCTGGTCATCTCCTGTACTGTGTCCGCAGTCTCTGGTCATCTCCTGTACTGTGTCCGCAGTCTCTGGTCATCTCCTGTACTGTGTCCGCAGTCAAGCATTTGTACAGGGCTAACTTCTTTGGAAAGTAATAAACATGTTATACTTATCTGCTCAATAGTATAGCACAGAGCAGCCCCGAACCACCTCTTCACTGGCACTTTTGGCTCCTCCTCTTCTTTGTTTGCCCCAATAGCAAGCCGCTTGCTATGGGGCCACACCTGCGGGCTTGATCCCGAGCTGCGCTGTGTTCGTCTATTGTCACACACAGCACAGATCAGTCTCACCCCACTCTCTGCTCACAGGATTTGGGTGGCAGTCAATGGCTCCCACTGCTGCCCCTGTGAGTAGAGGGAGAGCTGTTCCAGATGGGCACAGCGCTGGATCAAAATAGGACTCTAGGAAAATAGGAAATGTTTTACTTTAATACAGGGAATGCATTAAGGTAAACAAGTGTTGAGCCTTGAGAACTACTTTAAATTATGGCTTGCAATTTTGAAGGTGACTTCTGCACGTGCAATTATTTATTATATGATCAGTGTCAACTGTACAGGTTTAGTTTAATCAGCACATTTTTTCAGGTATAATCTGGTAACAGTGTAAAAAGAAAAACAACATTGGGCCCAAAAATGTTTGCAATTATAGTACTCCAATTTTTGTTGAGGTGGGCTCTTACTTGGATGGGTCTGGTGTGGCAGTAAGCAAATGGATACATGGTAACTGAGACTGGGGTAGAATAGATATCATACTGCCTGTAGTGCGAAATCCACCAGAATCCATACAGATGCCACTGTCCTTATCCCGTAGAACGTGCAGCATTGATTCAACTGTGATGTGCCCTGAAAGGGAATTGGATATATTAGAACACTGTTTTATACTTTCTCTCTTAACAATGTAAAACTGCACAAAATGTGGTGGTGTGGCATAGGGAATGTACAGAATGGTGTACAGAATGAGGAGGTATGGATTAGGGAATGTATGGAATGGTGTACAGAATGAGGAGGTGTGGAATAGGGAATGTACGGAGTGGTGTACAGGATGAGGAGGTGTGGAATAGGGAATATACGGAGCGGTGTACAGAATGTGGTGTGGAATAGGGAATGTACAGAGCGGTGTACAGAATGAGGAGGTATGGAATAGGGAATGTACAGAGAGATGTACAGAATGAGGAGGTGTGGAATAGGGAATGTACAGAGAGATGTACAGAATGAGGAGGTGTGGAATAGGGAAAACGTACAAAACGGTGTACAGGATGAGGAGGTGTGGAAATAGGGAATTTACAGAGCGGTGTATAGAATGAGGTGTGGAATAGGGAATGTACAGAATGAGGAGTTATGGAATAGGGAATGTACAGAGAGATGTACAGAATGAGGAAGTGTGGAATAGGGAATGTACAGAGAGATGTACAGAATGAGGAGGTGTGGAATAGGGAATGTACAGAGCGGTGTACAGAATGAGGAGGTATGGAATAGGGAATGTACAGAGAGATGTACAGAATGAGGAGGTGTGGAATAGGGAATATATGGAGCGGTGTACAGAATGTGGTGTGGAATAGGGAATGTACAGAATGGTGTACAGAATGAGGAGGTATGGAATAGGGAATGTACAGAGAGATGTACAGAATGAGGAGGTGTGGGAATAGGGAATGTACAGAGAGATGTACAGAATGAGGAGGTGTGGAATAGGGAATGTACGGAGCGGTGTACAGGATGAGGAGGTGTGGAATAGGGAATGTACGGAGCGGTGCACAGGATGAGGAGGTGTGGAATAGGGAATGTACGGAGCGGTGCACAGGATGAGGAGGTGTGGAATAGGGAATTTACAGAACGGTGCACAGGATGAGGAGGTGTGGAATAGGGAATTTACAGAGCGGTGTATAGAATGAGGTGTGGAATAGGGAATGTACAGAATGAGGAGGTGTTGCATAGGGAATGTACAGAATGAGGAGGTGTGGAATGGGGAATGTACGGAGCGGTGTACAGAATGAGGAGGTGTGGAATAGGGAAAGTACGGAGCGGTGTACAGAATGAGGAGGTGTGGAATAGGGAATGTATATTTACTTGGGAAATAGACATTGCAAGACAATGTAAAAAAAATCCCTGGACTGTCCCACAGAATCCAGGACATTTGGTAACTATGGTTAAATCACACAGCAATAATAACATGACAATACTGTAATCCCTTCCCACTTCATTCCAAACAAAAGAAAATTTTGGCCTAGAGTGGGGCTTTAAAGACACAGAATCTCATGATCTATATATTTCCTCATATCACCCCCTCTTCCTGCTTTCAGGTGCAATGCATACATAAGAGCTTATGTAGGCAAATGCCTATTGAAGATCATGCTGGCTCTGTGTAAGTATGCTCACATGTCTCTGCACTGTACCCACTGAAAACTGGGAGCAATTCTACAGAACCAGACCTATTTATGTAGCACTACCCTCTTAGGGATTGCTGATGAATTTGGGTTTCCCTATAGCCCTGCACAGCCAGTCAATTAGCATTTTCCACACAGCTTTCATCCATAAACAGAAATCAGGCCTTGAGCATTAGTTTTGTTGTCTCATTGAGGGGATATTAACTTGGATGGGGTAAGGGGTGCATAGGATGCCCAAGGGAACCGAAATCTGAGGACAAATTTCCTGAACTATTCACAGCTTCTCTCTGACACAGTCTCTGTTTGAGTACTAGCCAGCAGCTTCAGTTGTACTACCCCAGGAGGGCCAGTGAATCCTGAGCTTTCCTCCTTTCCAGCTCCAGGCTCGCAGGCAGGCCCCATCCCACTAATCCCCCTGGCAGCCTTACACCTCTAGTTTCACATCTTCCTGCTTCTCACTCCACTCCCACCACCACACTTCTGCTACTGAGCAGGCTCCAACACTTTTTAAGGGAGTTCAGCCCCTTGCCAAGACTTCAGTTGGGGATTGGCCAAGGTCCCTCAAAAGTGCAGCCAACCACTTCTCAGATCCACCCACCGCCTCCAAGGCCCTCCTCTGAAAGCTTCAGAGCAGTGGGGAATTCCAGAGGGGCTGGCCTGCAGAGTCTCTCAGCCCTTATCAAAATTTGACCCCTCTGACTATCTAACCTGAACTGCTAATCAGCTCCTCGCTAGACATTGGGGTCTAGCTAAACTAGGAGGGTGCTACTTTTATATCGAAACATTTGGCACATTTTTTGCCTTGGCCATCAGGATGAAACCTATGGAACTCCATATGAGTGCCTGTCTGTTCAGAGAAAGGAGAAAATGAGTTGGAGGTAGTTGTGTTGGTGGATCCCAGGCAGGTGCCTCAGCAAGCTTCATGCTATTCATGGACACAGCATTCATGGGATAAATAACTGAAAATCTGATCTGTCCCGACAAATCAGGAACAGCTGGCAAGTATGCTTTAACATTCAACTCATCTCAAAGTACACTGTGCTGGGAACAAAACAGTTACATAACTAGCTGTGCAAACCTTTGGCATTACGTGAGACTGAGAACTGCACCTTGTAAAGTAGGATTTTGCAGTCTAAAAGATCCTTATAATGCCAGATTATTAAGAAAAACTGAGCTATTCTTTAAGACAGTACCACTCATATAATGAAGACTATATATTTCTATCTTCGCAAGAAGCAAGACGTCAATCTGATAAGTGAGCGGCAGCAATGAATCACAAAGCATGGGGCGGTATCCTCTGATCTGAAAGCATTATATTGATATATCAGAAAATCTGATTTCAATCTGACAGAACATACAGTATCTCTGCTTACCTTCTTGCCTCCGCAGAAGCTCTTGCCCAGCCTTGCATCGTTCCTTTGCTGCCTCCATCCGTACTGGCTGCTTCTCTAGAGAATAGACTTTTTTAAAGCTGAACTCTTCATTCTCATTCCACCAGCCTTGAGCCAGGGCATTTGAGCAGAGCTGCGGGTGTTTCTGCCATATATCTGTGCCCACACTCAGTTGGTTAGAGATGTTTCGTGCTCCCTCTATGTGAGATATACAATATACATGAAACTGAGCAGAACATCTACCATTCCGGCTTCTACAACAATGTATTTTTTTAACTGAATAAATAGCACCATGAAATACATACTTTTTTTTTTTTAAACTACTGGATTACAGATTACACTGAATCGACATTAAGGCTGCTCTCTTCCGCTTTTGCGTAAAAAATAAAAAAAAAAAAAAAAAAAAGCAGAAAAAAAGACCCTTAATTTTTACAAGCCATGGTCTCGAAACCTCTTTATCTGTGTATTCCATATATATATATATATATATATATATATATATATATACATACATACACACAGGTGAAACTCGAAAAATTTGAAAATCGTGCAAAAGTTCATTTATTTCAGTAATGCAACTAAAAGGTGAAGCTAATATATGAGATAGACTCATTACATGCAAAGCAAGATAGTTCAAGCCGTGATTTGTCATAATTGTGATGATTATGGCTTACAGCTCATGAAAACCCCAAATCCACAATCTCAGAAAATTAGAATATTGTGAAAAGGTGCAATATTCTCGGCTCAAAGTGTCCCACTCTAATCAGCTAATTAAGCCATAACACCTGCAAAGGGTTCCTGAGCCTTTAAATGGTCTCTCAGTCTGGTTCAGTAGGAATCACAATCATGGGAAAGACTGCTGACCTGGCAGTTGTGCAGAAAACCATCATTGACACCCTCCATAAGGAAAGCCTCAACATTTTTAGTGCGAATTCCGCACTGCATCAAAATCGCACCCTGGCCATGCGAACTGATGCGGGTGTGTATGTTAACACCCCAAAATCGGTCCGCAAAACGCTGTGCGATGTGCAGAATCGGATCGCATAGGTGTGAATACCTATGAGATCCAATTCTAGTGCGGACTAAAAAAGGGTCCTGCACATTTTTGGTGCAGGTGCAATGCAAACAGAGCCATACAAAATGTATACACCGCATACAAATTGCATGTGATTTGTACAGGAATGCGGTGCGGTTCCTGTGCAAATCACAAGGGATTTACCACACCGCATCAGTGTGAACATGAGCTAATTGAACAAGCTGAAATTAGAAACTGATTGGCTACCATGCACAGCTTTAACAGATTCTGAGTGTTCCCATTTGAGTAAATCTCCCCCATTGACTATCGCTAGGTCACGCAT